AAAAGATTTTCTCCTTCATTTCTGTCAAACAAAGCTGTATGAAACGTTTCCAGCTGTTAGTATCATGGTTGCTCGGCAACCTGGGCAGCGCAACGGAGGCTAGACCGTCCCATTTCACAAGCCTCGCACTTCCGGCCTTAGCGGTCTTTGAGTACGCGGCCCTTGAGGATCGTTGAGGCGGCAGACCCTGAATTGGGATACAGCCGTAGTGATGGAGGCGTGGGGAGAAGTGTGTAGAGAGGTCGGGGCGATAAGAAGCTGGAAAGACCCCCCGTGGCCCCCCCCCCCATGGGGGGTCGACTAAGCTCATAATTAACTGTAAATAAAAAAAAATCCTCATTCATCTAAGCTAACAGTAAGAATCACAGCTGGTCGATCCACACACGACGCAGCCGAGCGTCTGCGATTGGACTACAGTAAAAAACTACAATAAAACAGGTGGAAAGTCTGAGGTGGTCAAACGCTCCTCTCTGCTGGAGTAAAGAATAAGCAGGTTTCACTTCCTGCTGATTAATTTCATTTGATTAATTTCTTCTTCTGCTGTTTTTATAGTTTTATTGTTTTATTTACTGTTATATTGTTTTTATATTCCCATTTCCTGTGTTGTAAAGCAATTTGTGATTTTTATCTGTGAAAAGCGCTATATAAATAAACTTTACTTATTTTACTTCCTGTTTAACTTTCAAATTAAAAGCCTAAAATCACAGCTCGTACAGTTTTCCTCCTCACGTTCACTCACCTGCTGATTTGACCTGAAACAGACTGAAACAGATGAACTAACAGAAGCGACGCGATCGTCAGACGACAGCCAGATCCCTCGATGTGGAAATAAACCTGCTCTGCTGTGACTGTTGACCTCTGACCAGAGCGTCTGGCACCGAAAATCGAGACGTAATAAATCACGCGTAATCGTCCGACCTGAAGGTGAACTTTAACTCCAGCCGACTCACAGCTAAGCTTCAGTTCATGTCCTGATGATCTGACTCGCCTCGACAAATAAGGCCGCAATTAACAGAGTCATGTGACTTCTGCACAGCTCACACTTCTAACCCTAAAGCACCAACGCGATGTTTCCATAAATGTCACCGAGTGGTCGTTTAAAAAAGTATTTTTGTTTCTCTCGTCGATCACGTGTCGTTGGACTTTAATGAAGCAAAGTTTTTAAACGTTGGTGTTCTCGGGCTAAGTCACGTGTCCAACTCTGGGTCTCTGACAGGCTGCGAGTCCATCACAAGCTGTCTCACAGACAACGCCACCACCACCATCATCACACACGTCCTTTAAAGCGGTGCACACGGAGCCGGGGCTGATTTACAGTGATGGGAAATAAAAACAGGAGCTTTCTTACAAAAATACGATAAAATAAGTGTGAAACTAAATAAG